ATATGTATCTGTATGTTGGGGGCGGTGTCTTTGGTGCTTAATCCTGATAAGGGAAGAGGTGTGACGTCTGAATCATGAGCACTAATATGGTTAGATGTTGCTTTTACTTCTTTTATATGTTATCTCTTAATGCATGAAAATGTAATAAATCATAAGAAAAAGGAGTATTTTTATGGATTATATTTTCATGCAGCACATTTCTTAGTGATGTCTGTCTAAAGCTTCTATTTTTTTTTTTTTGTCCTTGGAATATGAACAGGGATTTTCAATGTAAGTTAGCATGGTAAATGGCTTAAGAGAAATGTAATTTACCTCTTTTTTTTAATAGCAAATGCAGCTGGAAATAAAGTATTGGAGGCCTTGGGTGTAGATAGGGGGGATAATGGAGTTCGCCCACTCCCATAGGCCAGGGCCACCTATGAGGGGGTACAAGCAGTATAACAATGGAACACCCACTCTGCAGGCTCCTTCTCCTGCCCAATAGCTGTTCAGTGATGGCCACTGCTACATACACCACTCACAGGGATGTGCGGGCAGGTGAGGCAGACCCTCGCCTAGTATTATGAAGAAAAAAGGTGTCAGCTTCAAGTCTGAAGTTGACAGCTTTTTCTCCATTCAGAACAGCTTCTTACAGGTTACACAGCGGGGAAAGCCTCCCCGCTGTGTAACCTGTCATGGACAGAGCGCTGCCTTACAGGCAGCGCTGCATCCGGCTTTTGACAGGTAGTTGGGTTACACAGCAGCGGGCTTCTCCCACTGCTTGTGTAGCCTAACTTGGTGAGGCAAGAGCTGTCACAGCCACTACTCGCCAAAGCACCATTGGTCCAAGCTGTCCAATCAAAAAAAAGAAGAAAAAAAACAGTGAGGACATCAATCTCGATGCCTCACCAGTGATTAGAAAGTGAGGTATGGAGGCTCCTCCCTGTCTCCTCCCTTCCTCCTCCCCACACAGCTTGGTTGCCAAGCTGGGGGCGGGGTTACGGCAGGACAGGGCGGAGCTCCTCCACTCCCAGTAAGCAGGGCCACCTTAGTTACGCTATGCCTTTTCTCTTCTACACAAACAATTTATTGAATTAATGGCCATTATGTCATTAGCGATTTAACTCATTAGTAGCAAAATGTGGATGTGCAGTCCAAGTGTGTTTACAGTAGACATGTGCGCAAGCAAAAAATTTGTTTAGTTTCGATTCGGATTTTGCTTTATTTCGTTTTTCGGAATTCGGGTACGAAAGTCAATTCGATTCGGATGAAATTCGTTAGCGGAAATCCGTACGAAATTTCATTTCGTTTTTGTTTTGTTCGTTCATTGCAGCAAAGTGACATTTAAGAGGGGAAAAAAAGTTTTTTTTGTTCTCAAATGTCACTTTGCTGTCCAAAAAAAGAAAGTTGTCCAAAAAAAAAACGAATCGGAAATTCGGATTCGTTTGCATTCGTTATACCTGGAATTCGGATACATCTGAATCTCCGAAATTTCGTCCAAATTTCGATTCCGAGCGAAACGAATCGCACATGTCTAGTTTACAGTGTGTTAAAAGTGATAGGCACCATGCCCCCTTGAAGACCTATGCCAAGGAGAGGGACATGTCCTCCCTCCTGTGCTGAGATGAGGTACCTAATAATTTTGTTGAGTGCTTTATATTATTTTGCAAATCTAACTGAGGCAGTCTACTTTCTGTGTCTGGGCACCGGGTGTTGTGAATGGCACATGGCGCTCCTTTGGACCTGGTAGGTGACAGTGGCCCTCGAGCTGCAGGGTAATGGCAGGGCTTGATGGAGGCAGGCCCTGTAACATTTCTCTCTTGGAAACCTGGCGAGGTCACCTAGTTGGTTCTTACAGCTTTTTCTTGTTCTTTGTTGGACTATGTGTTCTGCTGTGGGTGACTTTACAGCGTGCATTGTTGTTTTGTAGGACAGTATTTTCTATATGATCTTATGTACATTCATATTGCTTTATACCTATGCATTTTATGACTAACATACCAGTCATTCCAATATGGATGGTTCTACATCCCCAATTCCATAAAAGTTGGGATGCTGGGTAACATCTACATAAAAACAGAATGCAACGATTTGCAAATCTTATAAACCCATATTGTATTTCACAATAGAAAATAGAAAACATATCCAATGTTTAAACGGAGAAAACTTACCATTTTAAGAAAAAAATAAACTTGTTTTGAAATTGATGGCAGCAACACTTCTCAAAATAGTTTTACCACAGTGTAACATCCCCTCCTCTTATAACGACACTCTGTAAACATGTGGGTTTTGGCCTTGTGCACAGAGATTTTTCCAGATTCTCAGAATCTTTTCATGATATCATGTACTGCAGATTGGCCCAGGTGGAGATTACTCCATCCACACAGTTAAGTGTAGATGGAGGAATCTGTTGCACCTTTTCCATCTGACCACAGAAAATCTGCAGATAATTGTAAGGTGTGTGTGGGCAGCTTAAGATGCTCCTTTTTATACCCAATCATGTTACTGACGTATTGCCAATTCACCCAATTTGTTGCAAAATATTCTTCCAGCTCTTCCTTGTTAGAACCACTTACTTTTTCAGCTTTTTGTTGCCCTGTCCCAACTTTTTTGAGACGTGTTGCTGCCATCAATTTCAAAATGGCCTTATTTTTTTTCTTAAAATAGTTCATTTTCTCAGTTTAAACATTTGATATGTTCAATATTTTCTATTGTGAACAAAATATGGGTTTGTGAGATTTACAAATTATTGCATTCTGTTTTATGTAGCTTTTACACAGCATCCCAACTTTTTTTGGAATTGGGGTGGTAATAGGTTACTTTAACTACCTTTTTATGTTCCACTTTTTCCCCAAACTTGCAGGTGACATACTTGGGGATTGTGCTGAGATTTGTATGTGTCTGTTAGACTCTTGCTTGTGGATTTTGTAGGTCCAAGGATTGTGAGATATGTTACCATATACACAGTAAGTAGGCTCAAGTGTTAAGCCCCTCCTACTTTTAAGCACAATTTTACCACACCCACAATTCACAGCAGCATGTTGCACTGCCTCATGCCTCTCCTCTAAATGCCCTCAGAAAGAAAAATGATTTACAACCCTGCTTTTACATAGTTTCTCTAAGCTCCTGCACGTAGAGCAATTGGGTATTAATCTAAAAGGTTGTGGACGGAGCTACCGTGTTTCCCCGAAAATAAGACACTGTCTTATATTTTTTTTGGCTCAAAAAAACACACTAGGTCTTATTTTCGGGGTAGGTCTTATTTTTAATTTTTTTTTAATGTACAACAATCTACACTTATTCATGTAGAAAAGTCTACATGTATTCATGTACAAAAATATTTTCGGGGTAGGTCTGATTTTCGGGGAAACAGGGTAAGTGAGGCTATTCACTAACAGGGCTATCAATGGTACCAATGGTTCCAATATCTAAGCAGCTATAGCAGTAGCAAGGTATAGCCTATCAAATGAAGTAACTGTCCAATTATACTACTGACAGGATCAACAGTGCTATTGACAGACTGCATCACATACAGCATGTGATTTTTATAATTTGACCATACTTCTACTGTAGGTGCAGAAAATGGAAACACAGGGAGCTTGTTAGCTCTAAGTTAAGTGCAAAAAAAAAGTTTAAAAAAAATGAGTCACACATTAAAAAAAACATTTAACTTTTTTTTTCTTTTTTTTTTATGTGCAACATATATGTACATGCACATACAAACGCAAACACGACTATATGCGAAAGCGATGATTGCACCACATATTACATTTTACCGTGAACTTTGGAGTGCGAGCAATAATTCTAGGACACCAGTCAGTGTTAACGCTAAATTTAATGAGTGGTCAAAGCTTTTAAAGCATCGCCTATGGCAAATTTTGGGTATGGTAGATTTTTGCAATTTTGTGGGCTCGCACAATTTTAAGGCTTGACATGTTTGGTGTCTATTTACCCGACATGACCCCGTCTTTTATATTTTACCAAAAATATGGGTAATAACATAATGTAGGGAAGACCCAGGTTTTTTTTCCCCCAAAATTTTTGGTGCATTTTTCTTTTATATAGTAAAAAATAAACCCCCCCCAGTGGTGATTTAAATACAATGAAAAGAAACCTCTATCTGCCCTATAAAATTATAGAAGATTCATTTTGGTACAGCGTTGCATGGCTGAATAAATGTCAGTCAAAGTACCTCTGTGCTGAATAGTGAAAAATGGCCTGGACAGGAAGGGGGTTTAACGCCCCGGACTTGAAGTGGTTAAATGGCATTGAGGTTGTAATTAAGAGTTCAGTTTTAGTATTTGCTGATGATCAAAATTATTCAGGGAAATGACTATGGCACAGGATGTGGCAACATTACAGGAAGACCTGGATAATATAGGGGGATTTAAAAATATCTGGACTTCCTAATGGACAACAGACTTGATAATAACAAGCAATGCCAGGCAGCCACTAGCAACACGGGCAGAATAAACAAGGTTGGAAGATGTGTATGGCCCTTAGGGCCAGTTCACACCAATTGCGGTGCGTTCCAGAGCTGCTGGAACGCAAAGTAATCGCACACTTAACTCCCACCTTTGTTCTGGGGCGGAGGAGGCCTGGCAGTGCATTGAAGTCAATGGCACTGCGGCCACGCCCCCGCCCGCAGTGCAATCTGACACGTGGCCTGAGTTCCAGTCCACTGCAAACGTGAAAAAATGCTGCATGCTGCCCCTTCCTGCCCCAGAACGAAGGGGGAAGTTTAGTGTGTGATTACTGTGTGTTCCAGGAGCTACTGCTCTGGAACGCACCGCAATTGGTTGTAACTGGCCCTTGCACATCTCCCTGTCCGACTCTTAGCAACCTGGGATGCTCTGCTATAAAGGGGAAACATTGCAAAAAGATGCCTCCTGAGGTATTATAGGGATGGCCATGAGTATGAACAGTGTTTGAGAGTTCTGTTTTGGTTAGACTTCTGATTTTTAAATATGGATGTAGAACTGGGATTTCTTTTTAAATGTTCTTATTTTTTTCCACTTCCAGATGAGCCGCCAAAAGAAGATGTTAAAAGGTGAATATTATTTGTGTATGCTATATGTAGACAAGATTGCTTCTGTTTAAGTACACTCACTGTGTATTACGTCCTCCACCCTTTTGTATTCTGCAAGACAGAACAGGAAATGTTCCTTTGCCCAGAGGTTTTGTGTCAGGTTACATTCACGCTCGGCATAGCCTCTCCCTTCTGGTTTACTTTGTTTATGGCATGTACCATTCATTTATTGCAAATTATTGTTTTACCAAACACCGGGCTGCCCACACTTCTGTGTTTTTTTTCAGTATTGTACTACTTGTATTGGTACTAATGTACCACTTGCAGCACATTTAAATAATGCTCTGGATGACCATATATAGCTGAGGACTGTATAATATACACTGAGTGGCCAGATTATTATGACCACCTGACGTTTGTAGGCAAAGTAGCTATAATTGGCTATAATTTTGCGCTGAAGTTGCTAGAGGGCCAGACCATTATAAATAGGGAAGCAGGTTGTTTACCACGACAGTAGAAGTTATTTTTTTTTCTGAAGATATATGGGTAAACAATGCGATTTAACAGCCTTTGAACGTGGGATGATTGTTGGCGCTCGGAGCCATGAAGCGAGTATCGGCAAAACAGCAGAATTAGTTGAATGTTCAAGAGCAGCTGTTAAATCGCATCTGGGTCTGAAGGTGCGAATTGTGGCCGTCAGTGACTAGTCAATGTTAGGGCAATTTTCTTATTAAATAAGGGTCCATAGTTGAAAAATACTTCCATGAAAGGGAAGATATACGATGCTATTGCTGACCACCTTCTTCAAATGCTAGTTGCCTGGCCTTATTTATTTCTGCATCACTGATATGGACCAATCATGGACCTAGTATTAAGAGAAAAGCCACAATTCTTGATCTGCATACTACTTCTGGGTCAGTGGCTCAGAACTGAAGCCATAACAGGCATCTGGCATTTTCATTAAATTTCAGCAGTCTACATATTTTCTCAGTACGGTTTCTTTTAAGCTGATTTCTGGGCTTCCTCTATGCCTCCCCTGCCCACAAGTAATTGCTGCCATTAGAAAAAAAAAGCCTAAAAAAATCTAAATGCCCTTTTTACTAAACTAAAGCTGCATTCACATGACGCTCCAGTTTTCTCAGGATTCAGAAAAGGAGTGCCGTCTGTAAAAGTCTGATGTTTGAGTTGTGCCTGTGCTGGCTGCCACCCATCTGCAGCGCTGAATAATAGGTCCCCCACACCCAGAAACACCTCTGATGGGAGCCCCGGATGGTGGACTTAGGTGAGTATATTTTGTTTGATGGTAAGGAAAAAAGACATGTGCAGGATGGGTTATGGGGGATTAGATGGGGGTCAATATTTGCATGGAGATGGGCTTTATAAGTAGATCCTAACCCTAACTGCATTACATGTATTTTCTGTGCCACCAAAACATATATGACAACATAGGAGAGCAGTTGGGAGATGTCACCACCTAACAGGAAGTGCCTGAACAAGGACCTTCACGGCAGGATCACCACAAATCAAATTCTTTTAATGAAAGCTGCAAACAAAAAAATGAAAACAACTTTTGAACTTACATTCACATGTACACAGTTGAGTATTGTCTGTGATTGGTTTTATATTTGCAGGACAAGCCTTCGGGAGTGTCTGTCTCTGTCTTCTCAGTCCTAGCTGTACTTTCGGACCAAGGAAGATGGCGTAGGCACCACGAATGTTAGTACTGAAAATTTAACTGTTAGTGCAAATTAAAAAGTATCACAGATGGCACAGTCCAGCTGTGGAATGTGACCATGTGTCTCATTTGATATGCACTAAATAATAGCTGCACCCCTTGACATGTCACTTTGTATGTCATTACAATACTTCATGGATTTTGTAGACTCACAAGACACCAAAAGGACATGTCTTCATAATATATTCTCACAAAGTATTACCTGTATAATATGTATTTCTCTGCTTGATGCAGCATCTACAGTTGATAAGACATATGAGACGGAATCATTACACGACCCATGTGGATTTCTATGTATTATTCAGAATCAACACATTTTCTATTTATTCCCGTGTCTCAGCCCTATCTTTGAAGACGATACCCCATCAGTGATGGAAATCGAGATGGAAGATCTTGACAAATGGATGAGCAACATAAAGAAAAATAGTATGTCTTACATTTCAACCACTTTTCATGTGCCCTCCAAGTGCTCTGTTTTTCTTACCCTCTACATTGATTCCAATAGATACATTATTTTCATGCTGGGCTCTTAAGGGTGTGCTTTTATACTTCTTATCTCTCCAGAGGCCTGTAATTCTGCTTTGTCAAATAATAAGATAACATGGTGTGCTGCAGGTACTTTGCTTTATGACAAATTATTGCTTGTAGAACTTTAGCACTTAGGATCTATACCCTGATTCATACCCTGAATCTCTCAGAAACAAAAAGTAAAACAAAATGCACTACCAATCCAGCTATCTAGTAATAGAATGTGCACACACTACTATCATGTGCCAGGGGCAATTAAAGTACATCTGTCATCTGCATACAACTATTTGAACAGCCTAAATGTAACTGTGTATCACATTGTGTTGCACTGGATGTAGAGCACAGCTGGGTACTTATTTTTTATATACTAATTTCTTCATGACTTCATTCAATTTTACCATATAGACCTGGGATCCCTAAGCCCTTTAGCTCATCGACCCTGTCATGAAGTTTCAGACTGTGTATTGGCTCCAAAACATGTACTATATAACATAGTTGAATAAATAAAAGTAGTATTAATATAGCATAATCTTGTAAATACTGTCTACACTTCCTCTAGCTAACAATTATGGCTGTTACAATGCTGAATTTTTAGTACACACAAAAATCAGTTCTTTGACACATTCTGTCACAATGGGTGTACTCACTGGTTCTCCAACAGAGTTTGAGGTGGGTGTACTCACTGGCTTTCCAAGAGAGTCTGAGGTCGGTGTACTCACTGGCTTTCCAAGAGAGTCTGAGGTGGGTGTACTCACTGGCTTTCCAAGAGAGTGAGGTGGGTGTACTCACTGGCTTTCCAAGAGAGTCTGAGGTGGGTGTACTCACTGGCTTTCCAAGAGAGTCTGAGGTGGGTGTACTCACTGGCTTTCCAAGAGAGTCTGAGGTGGGTGTACTCACTGGCTTACCAAGAGAGATTGAGGTGGGTGTACTCACTGGCTTACCAAGAGAGTTTGAGGTGGGTGTACTCACTGGCTTACCAAGAGAGTTTGAGGTGGGTGTACTCACTGGCTTACCAAGAGAGTTTGAGGTGGGTGTACTCACTGGCTTACCAAGAGAGTTTGAGGTGGGTGTACTCACTGGCCCTCCATTGGAGTTTGAGGTAGGTGTACTCGCTAGCTTTCCAAGAAAGTTTGATGCGGGTGTACTCACTGGCTCTCCAACGGAGTTTGAGGTGGGGGAATACAGTATGAAGAGGGTAAAAAGTCACAGACATAAAACTCAAAGAATATGGGTCAAGAAAGCCAGTAATAACACACAGCTAATAGAGACGGCTAACAGCAGCTCTTGCTGGCAATTACCCATTTAACCCAGGGTAACACTGTCTCACCACTGGGCCAACTCACCTTCAGGACTAGGGACTGGCATGGTCCTCCACACAGACCTCAAACGATTAATTCACCCCAATAGTCCTTTCCTCATGTATCAACCACCTATTACCTATCAGTCATTTACTATATAAGCAGAGGTACTGCACGTTTGCATGGTAAATCTACCATAATCTCTCCTCACAAAAAGTAAGTGCACTTTGATACAAATATATATTATATACTCTATACAGTATACTACAACATATATTTTCCCTCCTAGAATTACTCGTATAGACCTCAGATGCAGACAAATCTAGTTACTTTCTACCTACTACTTATTCAAAGTCAGGCAGTGTGTATATTCAGTGTCATCTGTCAAAAGCAGAACAATGGCCATGCTGGAAGCATGCGGCAAGCTAGAGACTGAGGTGGCAATTATTCCTCATGGCTGATTCCTTGCTGATCTAGCATACAGGTATGAGCACCAATTTTAGAGGACACTGGAGCACCAGAGAATAAAGAGGAACTCCAGGAATCTAAAATGTTAACCCATGCACTGGGGCTACCCCTGCACTGCAAGGGTTAAAAGCTCATTTTAGTCTCTAGGGGATCAAATTAATTAAATATATACACTCACCTGATCCTCGATCCCTCCTGGCTGCTAGACCAGTCCCCACAGCCTCTTCCTCTGGGCTCCGGCGGTCTATGTCTCCCTGACGTCATCATGTCTAATGCAGGCTATTCACCTGCATTAGGGCTTGTTCACGCCAAGTGCGGAGCAGATGCAGAGCAGTTACAGAACACATCAAACATGCATCCAATGTTTTCCAATGGTATTTTGGGCTCTAGTTCACAACACAGCGTTCAGTTCCAGAGCATGTGGAAAAACTGCAGCATGCTCCATTTTGCTCTGGAATGCACCAAACCCCATGCAAATGCATAAAAATGGCACGCAAACGTTCGGGAATGCACTAAAAGCCCATTTTAGGCTAAAAAAGGGGTCCGTAACGTGTCAATGTGGCACTGCATATGCAGAAACTCATGCGGATCTGGTCCAGATCTGGTGTGAACAAGCCCTTAAGGTCCCCACACACCTTACCATAATCGTACGATAATCGCCGGAAATCCCGCGATCGTACGATTATCGTAAGGTGTGTGGAAGCCGTGCGACCTCTACTACTTTAAGGTCGCACGACTTTTAACTTAGGGACATGTTCGAAAACCCGCCGAGCATCGTACGATGTTCGGCGGGTTTGTGGCATGTTCGTAGGATAAAAGCCGTACAAACCGGTGAGCGCAAGCGCACACTGCCCGTTCGGCATTGCGGTCATCGGAAGCCCGCCCCTCAGGGGGCGTGGCTTGCGATCATCGCAAGTACAATCTGCCTATGCAAGATAGGCAGATCGTACGTTTTTTTAAGTACCTTACAACCATCGCAAGACAAAAGTCTTTTGATGGTTGTAAGGTGTGTGCCCAGCCTTAGATGTGAGAATGCTGAGGGACAATCCACAGCCAGAGCGGCGAGGGAAAGAGGTGAGCACTCACTGATGTAGGACCAAGGATCAGGTGAGTATATCTTCTGTATGCTGGCCCCTAGAGAAAAACGAGCAGTTCTTCATTAAATCCTGCTCTAGGGCAGTGACATGCTAGATTAGTCTGCGCCTGAAGTCTGTATTCATTAACTAATCAATGTTGCATAATTTGATGAACAGGGCAAAGGGAGGAGTTTGGTAAAGGTTTTATATTATTATAACTTACCCGATTTACCTGGACTGCATGTAATTCCTTCCATTCCTTCGCATCCCAAATTCCTTCTGCTTTTCAAAGCATTTTTGATAAACATGAGCGTAGAAATGACCTCTAGAATGTCAGCATAAGCTTTCATTGTATTGTAGAGACCTTTGTGATAAGAATGTTCAGTGAAGTTCTTGGTGCCTAATCAGAAGTATGTATCATGGAGAAAGCAGAAGCCGGATTTCAAAGTTTGGCTCCTTGTACCTCTGGCATAAAACCATTATTTTTGCACTTTTTTAATGCCTGGTAATAATCAAAAATCTGATACAATTCTTGTTCGCTCATCATATTTTACTTTTGTTTTCAAATTTTATTCAGAAATTCGAGCATGTGCAATATCTGTGCACAGAGCATGCTTAGTATATGTTTAATGGTCAGTATATGGTTTTACAGACAGTCGCCTGTCCACGCTAGAAGAGGAAAATCACAATCTTACAAGGTAAGATGCATTCGCATGTTGCTACCACTAGGTGGCTATGGCTTTAGACAGACATGCAGTAGAAAAAATCTGAGATTAAGATAACATTGAAGGATAATAGCATTTTAAAAACACATTAGCTACAGGCATATTAAGTATTTTTCTTTATTTAGTTAATATGGACAAGTTTGCAAATATTAGCGTTCACCATTTCTCATTTTCTTGTCTTCCCTGCTAAAGCTGTTTTTAAAGCTGTCTTCATAGACCTTACAAGCTTAGAATCATGCTCTGCGCTGTGTATGATTATTATTATCATTAGGGATGCATTGATACCGATACCGATAGTGGTATCGATATCGGTGCCGATACCGAGTATTTGGCCGAGTACTCGTACTCGCCCAAATGCTCCGATGCCTAGCTCAATACTTCCTGTATCAGGAAGCCGGGCAGCAAGTCATTCCATGGTCTCTCGTCACTTGTGATGAGAGAGCAGGATCCGACTTCCCGGCCAATCCGGAAGCTGGGCAGCGTGTAATGACGTGCTGCCCAGCTTCCTGATTGGTCGGGAAGCTGGCCAATCAGGAAGCTGGGCGCTATGTAATGACTCAGCGCCCGGCATCCCATGACGAGGGAGCATGGAGCCGGCCTCCCGGCCAATCGTAAAGCAGGGCGCTGCGTCATTACATGGCGCCCAGCTTCCTGATTGGTCGGGAAGCTGGCCAATCAGGAAGCTGGGCGCTATGTAATGACTCAGCGCCCGGCATCCCATGACGAGGGAGCATGGAGCCGGCCTCCCGGCCAATCGTAAAGCAGGGCGCTGCGTCATTACATGGCGCCCAGCTTCCTGATTGGCCAGCAAGACGGCTACGGCTGGGTACCGGAGGAAAGCCGCTCCTGGCTGGAGAGGCCCCGGAGGTGACGGGCTGGACATGCTGAGGTGAGAGGGGACAGACTTTCTTGTTAATCGGGAAGCCGGGTGGCGAGTCTTTACACGCCACCTGGCTTTCTGAATGGGACTTCCGGTACTCGGTAATTGGTATCGAAAAAAATGTATCGGTACTTGGTACCAAAATACCGGTATCGGTGCATCCCTAACAATTATTATTATAATACAGTATTTATATAGTGCTATCAGTTTGTCCAGTGCTTTACAAAATGAAGGCAGACAGTACAGTTACAATACAAATTCAATACAGAGGGGTCCTGCACATGGGCACTTAGAATCTAAAATGAGGAGTTACTTCACATATGGGACATTATGATCCCTTTTGATGTGCATGCATGTGAAAGTTTGCACAAAGTGACTGACAGATGTTACATGAGTTGCCCCCCAACCAGACAGTCTTTTAGGAATGCATATTTTTGGAGCGTTTCTCCGCTCTATTTTCACATTGTACAGCTTCTGACTTTGAAGCAATTGAATCAGCAAGGTATGAACTTGCCACATCACATTTAATTTTTTTTCACAGAGCTGAAATGATCAATTAAAATAAAAGCACTTAAAAAAAGTTTGCGATCAGATTTGGTATCTAGGTCAGCAGGGCAGAAGGGGCTTACCTTTTATTTTTAATTTTCCCAGGTCTATCCACCCCTAGACGTGTTTAGGCAAGTCCAGCAACTCAACGATAATGGGAAAGGTGTACAAAGTCTGTTGACAGAAGTCATAAGACTTTTTGTAGCTCAAGCAGCATGAAACTACACCGATCAACCATAACATTATGACCACCTGCCTAATATTGAGGTCCCCTTTTGCCACCAAAGCATCCCTGACCCATCGAGGCATGTACTCCACTAGATCCCTGAAAGTATGCTGTGGTATCTGGCACCAAGCTGTTAGGAGAAGTTGTGAGGGGGGATTTCCATGTATCGGACTAGTTTTTCCAGCACATCCCACAGATGCCCAATTGGATTGATACATGGAGAATTGGAGGCCAAGTAAACACCTTTAGCTCGTTGTGTTCCTCAAAACATTCTTGAACCATTTTTGCAGTGTGGCAGGGTGCATTATCCTGCTGAAAGAGGCCACTGCCATCAGGGAATACTGTTGGCATGAAGGGGTGTACTTGGCATCAACAACATATAAGCAGGTGGTATGTGTCAGTTATATCCACATGAATGGCAGGACACAAGGTTCCCTAGAAGAACATTGCCTCCACCGGCTTATCTTCTTCCAATAGTGCATCTTGGTGCCATCTCTTCCCCAGGTAAGTGATACACACAGCACCCAGCCATCCACATGATGTAAAAGAACATGATTCATCAGACTAGGCCACCTTCTTCCATTTCTCTGTGGTCCAGTTCTGATGCTCACATGCACATTGTAGGCACTTTTGATGGTGGACACGGGTCAGCATGGGGACCCTAACTGATCTTTGGCTATGCACCTCCATATACAACAAACTGTGATGCACCTTTTTCTGGCGTTCAGATACTTTTCTATCCAAACCAGAATTAACTTTTTCAGCAATTTGAGCAACAGTAGCTCTTCTGTTGGATCGGAATTCACAGGCCAGCCTTTGTTCCCCACGTGCATCAGTGAGCCTTGACCACAGATTGCTGGTTCACAGATTTTCCTTCCTTGGACTACTTATGGTAGGTCCTGACCACGGCAGACCGGGAAGATCCCACAAAGGCTGCAGTTTTGTAGTCACTTTGTCCCAGTTGTCTAGGCATCACTATTTGTCCTTGTCAAAGTCACTTAAATCCTTACTTTTGCCCACTTTTTTAGCTTCCAACATATCAACTTCAGGGACAAAATGTTCTCTTGCAGCCTTATATATCTCACCCACTTCCAGGTGCCATTGTAATGAGATAATCAATGTCATTCACTTCATCTCTCATAATGTTATGTCTGATCGGTGTATATACCTTTCCTTTCGTGATCTGAACATTTGACTAGAAATTCTGCATGTAAAACAGACAGCACACTGCCTCCAGTAGTCCAATATCACATTCTTGCTTTGTTTTTTTTTCTTTTGCACAAATAATCACAAGCTAAAAAGGATGTTACCTGCATAAAGGGAGCAATCAGTTGCATTATCTTAGAGCAGCATGTTGTCTAAATACAGCTTATGGCATGTAAGTTAGAAATTAAAGGAGGGCCAGTGAAGTGCATAATACAGAACAGGACATTAAAGGGTATCTATAATTACATGACAACCTCATAGATGTCTATCGGGATTTCAGTGATAGCAAAGCAGCAGATGGAGCACTTTGAAGGTCTCTGTATTGGTAGCACAGAGGTAAGTATTATTTACTTCACTACATTTCTATCACACAATCTGGAGATCTCTTATTCCTGGACTTTTACTATAATTATTATTTTTAAAGAACAATATTTAGGTTTCACAAACTTAAAAGTATGCTGTAACTTTACAGTGTCTGTGAAAATGATTTTAAAATGTTGACGGCTATAAATTGGGTATATGTGGGTTCTATGGTCCATGCGGCAGCATTACGTCTCGGGTGCTAAGATATGCCAGCTAAATAGCGAAGCATCACTGAAAATTAAAAAAGAAACTGCACGCAACTATGGTACTCTGTAATTTAAAGGAGCTCTAAAGTCACAGCATATGCTAATATATGCTATAGCATCAGCATTGTAATAGGAATACATACTATCGCTGTCTTTGCAATCAAAGCTCACTTGGAAAAATCCCCTTTATGTAGTGAGTGCTGCCTTCCGTCTGCCCGTCACTTTTAACAACTTCCTGGATTTCCAGTGTGCTTTGCGTCTCTTTCCCTGCTGTATGATGTGATGTAATCTCATTTTCTCAAGACTACATATCCCACTATGCATTGCTTCTAACAAGCAATGATAATGTTACATTGTTCAGACATTGAGTTGCAGTTCAGAAGGCAGGCTTTGAGAGGGTTGTAACACAAGCAAGTGCATATTCAGAGGGCTGAAATTTGGTCAGTGCATTGAGAAACTATATCCTATGAGCATCTTCAAATAGCAAGTTTACAAATGTATATATTCATATTAGTGGGATTGAACTTATGGAAATTTAGTATAGAAATGCATATTATTATTTTGTTTAGTTTTTGACTATAGATACCCTTTAACATTCATGGGCACTAGGTCAGTATTAGTTAATCTGCTCTCGTAGTCACAATGTATACATCTGTATACACCTTTCTTTTTGTACTTTGTGTTCTATTTGTGAAACCTCTTCATAACCCTAGATTTCCCCTCCTCAACAACAGCCAATCAAAAGACTGCTCCTCCCACCTGATCTGGACAGGAAATACATAGATTAAAAGCCCCGTCCACCCTCACCTCCTTAGTGTTTTTCCTGTCCCTGTCAGGATAGAATGTGAGAAGATTATTTTCATTGGGCCATATTTTCCTTTTTCTTCCTCGTGGAATCTCAGGGTTTCCATGTTAAAGATTTTAAAGCTTATCTAACCAATATGCACTTCAGGTGAGGACACTGGTTTGAAAAGTTGGACTTAGTGTTCAATTGGGACAATTCCTGTGCAGGTTCTGAGCTTGCCGCACCTACCCTATTCATAGAGGAGACCATATCTCCATCTTGCCAGGCCGAGCTGATGCTGAGCAGGCACAACTTTTGGTGCTTGGAACACACAACACCCGGAAACTAGAACTTGCTGGGCCTCTTTTTCCTCCTGGAGCTATAAAAGATGAGAGGCTAGAGTAGGAGTAGGTACTCCAGTAGGGTTGCCACCTGTCCAGGATTCACCCGGACAGTCCGGGTTTTCAATGCTGTGTCTGGGTTTCACGGCAGCAGAAACCCGGACACTAGATGTCAGGGAGACAGGGGCAACCAAAATAAGATAGGAGCTACTGGCCCCCCACTGAAAAGTCTCAACTGTGATATTTACATATGAATAGGTGGCGCTATTTACATATCAATAAGCCACAACTCATTCTCCCCAAATGTCCGCTCGTCGCTACAGTGTTTTGGTTTCACTTGAAGAAAAGGTGGCAACCCTATACTCCAGGTGTTGTGGAACTACAAGCCCCATGAGGCAATGCATGACTCTCAGATGCAGAA